TTTCCATAACTGGCGTGATCCAGAAGGACACTCGAAATCCTTGCCGTGATTAAAAAGCTTCGAAAGCTAGACCCTGCATTGGAATGTACTCTGGATCAAGCTCGCCGGGGAGCAGCGCCGCACGGATTCACTGTTCATAGTAGAAAGAAAGCCAACGAAAACCATGCACCGCAACACCCTAAACTTAAGTAGGAGAGTACGCGGGGAGCCGTTCTTCCACGCGCGGTCAATTCTCCTTACTTTGCACACAAGTGTCAACACACTGTTTGGGAAACATAGAAGATATCAGCAATTTCTATGGCACAAAACGGACACGGAGCTGTACCGGAAAAATAGCACATATACACTTCAGAGAAGTTCGGCGGAGTTTGCGATGTCCGGCCTTCAAGACGGAATGTTATGATTTTCAAAATTGTGTGTTGTTGAGCCTTTTTTTTGCAGGAAGGTCCACACTCGCCAAGTGCTAGCACAAGCCTTCCCTGTCTGGCCTTTCTGGACCTGTCTGAGACTGCACGAATCTAACGAGACTCCGTCTGCTACAGGGTCAGTCACCGCAAATGTGAGATACGCAGCGACATCGCAGATATTGAGAGAGAGAGAGAGAGAGAGGAGAGACAGAGAGAGAGAGAGAACGAGCAAGAGAGAACGAGCAAGAGGGAACAAGAGACAGAGAGGGAACGAGAGAGACCATACTCTTTTAAACAAATACATAGAGAAAAGGAGGGGGACGGCGGTGGATGCAGATGCATGCAGCCATGTAGTCTTACTTGCTTGTCAGCTGGCTTGTCTTTGTTTGTCGTTCTTCTGCTTAGTAAGGCTTCGGGTTGAGAACTACGGCTTGAGGCACGGAGCCCCCATGCAGGGCCTACGAGCGCATAGCGCTGCAGAAGCTGCAAAAGCCGACTCTGCCTCGCTGCCCAAAGCTTTCGATGCCAATCCGGCGAAGACCACGCTTGGGACCGTGCAGACATAGGACAAGGCCAAGGCTTTCATAATCAAGATTCCAAGGGCTGAACAATACCTCGCAGAAGAGGTTCACATGTGGGCTGCAGAAATTACGCAGAAGCTTTATCTTTCGGGGTAGTAGGTTTCAGGGCGGAAGGTCTGACGCAATCCTGATTAGACGTTAGAGCACTCCCCTGACGTCTCTGATCCATCTCGACTGAAGCGTCGGCCTCTAGGTTGAAAAATCCCTGCAACCTGTGGATTGGGTGATTGGGGTGCAGTTAGGATTGAGCGCAGAAGCTTCGACGTAGCCCACAGGGCCCAACGGCTCAAAGGACCCCCGAAGTGGGTACCATGGTTTAGCATAGTTGGCCCACGAGGGCCGCCCTCCGAAATCCCTCCACCTCCGGACTCCAAATCTCCACGATGGCTCAGCGCCCCTAAACGTTGTGCCAGGGAACATAAGAAACGTCATTCCGGTCTTGGCCAAGGCGAGCTGGACGAGAAGCATAGGGATCTTCACAAATAGAATCAACATCCACTTCGCACCACGGGGCAGCCTCCAGTGGGAACGCTCGCCAGTACAGAATCAGATGTGGGGATTCCAGGCTTCCAAGCCGAGTCCTACAACCATGACCGCGCAACCTCATGCGGGCTCCCAATGGCCCCGCCCCCAACCCTAAACCGCAAAGGCAAACAACCACCTCGCGCCGAAACTCAGGCCCCAAACAGCAACTCCTCCATATCGTCTCTGGCAGCCTATCCGCATAGCATGTTTAATGTAACGAATAGAACGACCCAGAATGTCCCCTTCTGACCAGGCAATGCTTTGAACTGCCACGGCTAGCCCCTGCTGCCAGAACAGGCGCACTAACTCCACGTAGCTTGAAGTTATGCAGATAAAGGATTTTGCTGCCTGACGATGTGGATGTTGCCGTCGGCGAACTGGAGGGAGGAGCCGTCAAACTTTGGCAGGCTAGCAAGCAAGACAATTGTCCACAAATTGAAAATAATGTCCGGACTGATCTTGCAGAGCCATAAGAAGACTACCACGGACCTCGGCTGTCGGTCTAGCTGAGCAAGTGGGTAGGTTGCAAGGCTTCACAGACCGAATGCAGGGAGTGTTATATAAGCTGACACTTTCCGGGCATATGACTTCATGCAGATTCCCTGCTTGGGTGCAGCGGATTCAAGGCAAGTCTGCAAGCCAAACCAAACATCCGGAGCCAAAGCTCTGCCCCAAACCCTCAAACTGCAATGAGCATCAATCTGTTCGATAGATGACAACACACTCAGAAAATCAGTTATAGCAGAAGAATATTCCAACGGCTGCCTCGAGACTGGGAGTATGGCACACTGTGGTCTGTCAGGCATAGTCCGAGAACCCGATCCGTTTCCTCGACGGAAAAAGGGTGTGGGTCGAGTTTTAGGTCAACTGGGGTCTACATGATGCGCCACGGAGCCACGATAAAGAGCAATCCGAGGGTCCTAGATAAAGTATGACCAATCAATTTTATATGCGCGTCGCGAATAGTTCAATGTGCATATGAAAGGCCACGCCGAAACCAAACACGCGAAGCCGACTGGAAGCCTGTGGAGCCTGGCCCAAACTCGAGACATCAGCGCTTCGACCTTGGAAGCCTCTGGCTGCAGCCGTAAGCAAAAAGACAGACCCGTGAACACGATATCGCCCGCATGGCCGGAAGTCGTAGTCCCACACCCCAAAACGCCAGGAATCAAAGCTTCACCAATATACGTCTTCGACTCTTGGGCCCGCAAGACTTCCTTCCTTCCGTCCCCTACTTTCCGGCCAGGGCTCCGGCAGAGTAGTATTCGACTCCTGTGCCTTTCGAAGTGACTCAGCCATCACAGTAGTTTCTTCGAACCTTCAATTGGCAGGGGCTATGTATGACTTGCTTGGACGAGACCCGACAAAGAGGCTTGATTCGCGCCTAACCTGGGATTGGCTTCGATCAGTGTAAGCCTACATCATCGTGTTTATTACCGCTGTCGCAAGACCATTCGTTCAGCCCCTCATTCATGACGTTTCAACCTCTCGATACTGACACACTCAACCCCGTGTTGCTTCTCCCATTTAGCCAGAACCTGCAAGTCTTTCCGGACCCCAGTATGACTAAATTCGACTTTGTTGGGTTGACGGTTTGGATCACGGATAGGTATTCCTGAGCAGAATCCTTCTGGACAGCGGTTCTGTCATGCTAACAGCTGTCCAAACCATGAGCCTTCAAGCCAAAACCCTCATGCCTCGACAATCGAGATATCTCGAGATGTTCAAGCCTCCCTCGACCGTGGAGCATAGGAAGTGTTTGTCGGAGGGTTCCGTCCAGTAAGGAACTGTTGGTTTGGAATCTTAGTCTAGGCCACGGATTTGAACCCCATAAAGTAAAAGCCGGGTGGCATGCTAGCCGCTAGACTTTGTAACCCCAAGCCCAAGCCAAGAATCCCAAAATACCCCAAATGTATCGAAGTGCAGCCTGGTTTCTGATAAGGATCTTGCATTCGCTGCGTGGAGAAGAACAGAAGCAACGCAATTAACAGCGCCTGAAGCACGAAGGAGATTGCGTAGAGCCCGAGGCCGTTGATGAGGCGGCCAGTCGCCTGCACGGTCTCGCGGTGGCATAGGATTTTCGTTGGTAGTTATGGCTCAGGCAAACCCCGCGAACGCGGTCCGACTTATCTTAACCCTGAACCGTGGGAAGTAGTCATTGACTTCCTTAACTGCTGTCGCCTGCTTCTGGCCGTACTTTAAGGCATACTCCGCGTCGCTCCACTGTGCAACGGCCAGCATGGCCGCACCTTGTGTCGTGCTTTCGAGGGCGATGCTAAACTTCTCGGTTTCCGCACCGTCGAAGTACCCACGTTCTGCATCTCTGTGTCCGATGTCTCTCTCCGAATCCTCGTCGGCTTTGTGGTAGCTGGCCATTCGCATGACAAAGGCAACGGCCAAGATCAACGAAGAACAACACAGTTTTCTCAAAGGCTGTGAACATACATAGTGCTTGCAATACTGAGTGCAACAAGGCAAACTCTTGTATGCTCTGCACTAGGACTGACATTCGAAAAACCGTCTTCAAGAGCTTGAGATGCCTGACGGCTTCGGACCTCTGCTTTGGAGAAGGCTGAAGAGAGCATGCCTTTGAATGCTTCTTGTTCCCACCCGGGGCTGGACACTGTAGTGCTTGCTGGCTTCGAGGGCCCACGGCTTGCTTGTGACGCAACTCGTCCCAGCGGGTGCCACTAACTAGAAGCATGTTGTGCGACCAGAACCATGCATAGATCCCGGAGCTGAACGCTGTTTTCCAGTGCAGCAATCTCCACGAGATCCGGTGGGGTCCGGCCGAGAAGCACCTGGCTCAGGATGTCGCGCCTTGGTGCGGGCAGAAATAACGCCTAAGTTCCGATCCCAAGCTTAAAGTCATGGGCGGGATCCGGTGGGGTTGCTTTAAATCCTAAGTCCAGGTTCCTCCATGGGACGAATGCACCTTCAGCCCTGGCACCAGTCTATGGATTATGATATCTCGCAATCTAAATACACTAATAAACACGTGAAATATTAATGGTGTAGATATGTATACGGACATGAATACATAAATATACATATATATATATATATATAGACAGAGAGAGAGAGAGAGAGGATCGCCCTAGCGACAGTGGGTTTGGGTTTGGGAACGCGCGTTTCAGGAACTCCGAAGGTGCCCGAGAAGAGGTTACTTTCGGAATATGGAACGCTTTTCTAATTCCTGCGGGTCATGTGAACGAGGCGCAACTTCGCAAATCACGGAACAGTGTCTCATTCCAGACTCCCCCCTCCATTGCGTCCACATATCTTGGACCTCCCAAGAAACGTTAGCCAAGACGATATTGTTAGGAGAGACTGGGCGGGTGCATAGAGGACTGGGGGCCGGCTTGCTCAGCCTGTATCGAAGCTTTTGTTGTTGTGCTTTTCTTTTGTTCTCTCTCTCTCTCTCTCTCTCTCTCTCAAGCGCAAGCTTGTACTGGAAGGTGTGACTTGAGTTCCTCTCTTTAAGAGGTTAGGGATTATCCCAGCATCCGAAAACCTCACAGTTGATAGAGTGAGTGTGTACCAGAACGCAGCAGTTGACCTCCTTTACCCTCTCAGTGAGTTTACAGGCCGCAGGAACCGCAGGAACGTAGGACGGCAGGGTCTGCGACCTGCCAGATATACATACGTGGCCATGTATATATGTATATATAACGAATGAATATATATATATATATATATATATACATACATATATATATATATATATATACATACATACATACATACATACATATATATATATGTATATGCGTATGACGATGGTGGTGACGATAACGGTTCTGTGATGCAGTGCCCAGCAAGCCCATTCTTGCAGAAGATCCCGGCAAGTGCTTCCGCCAAAACCACAGATCTTTGCCCCCATGGTGGGAAAATGAGTCCATCATCTCTGAATCCCTCCATCTAACCAGCAATTAACTTCAGCTTTACGTCATGCATCCCGAAAGAGAGCAAGAAACTCGAATGCTTGACCGAGGCTAACCGCAGGGAAAGGAACAACATTGCATGACTACAATGCACTGGCAATCTAATCTCAGTGTCACTTCCAGCTTAAGCAGTCTAAGAACGTGACGGGTTCGAAACCCTTCCATCCACAAGTCCGACGAATCAGACACAGGCAATGACGGTGCATCCTGCTGGTTATCTCAAGAAGGACGCAGACCCTTTGAAGCTCCTTTGCAATGCTTTTGGTTGGCGGCTCAGGCTCAGGGTTTACATGCAACACACCAAGCATGCTGCAGCATAGGCTGCTTGACCAAGGAGTTGAGGGCACCATTGCGCGAGCCTGCCAGATGCGGATTTCAAGCCTATAATGATGTAGCTGCTTGTATTCATAGTTCAACGACACGAACCGTTGCACGTCGGAAGCCAATTCAGAACGCGATAAGACTGATCAGCGTTTGCAGTTGTTCAGGCTTGCGGCCGAAAGCAAGCACGACGGGGGCTCTATCTATGCACCTGTCCCTAAAGCTGCAATGCAAACCAAAGCGTGAATCTTAAACAACGATCTCCACGTCATTCCACGACACATCCCAAACTCTCAACTGAAAATTTCTTGAAACAGTCAGCTGAAGGCTCACTTGTACGCTTGTACGCTTCGGCCAGGCATATATGAAAAAGACGAAACCGACAGAAGTACTCAAAACCCCAAACTCTGCACCCCAAGCCCCAATCAATCTCTCAAGTCGGAGGGGCGAGTTTCAGTTTCATCGTTGGATGCTGTGCGTTTGGGAACTCAGGTTTGTGGCTTCGGGTTGCATGCCCAACGGACGAACTGTACAAGCAACCAACCCGTAAAAGATGCACAGAGCAATGTCAGTAAGCAGGCCGTTCTTTAGAATCCATTTAAATTTGGTCTTAGGCTTGAAGGCTTTGTAGACTTCGAACTTGGAGCAAAGGGCTGGAGGTTTCATGAAGCTCCCGGTTTGGCCCAGACTGCTTGCTAGATGTCGACTTCTGGCCCCTGAGTATGATTCCCCCCACGGCCAAATGTCCGGACCATCAACAGGTCGTGCGCAGGCTTCAGGTCTGGTGCATTGCTGCTGAATCGTTGCAGGAGTTTCAGGAGAACAGCTGTCCGGAATCGAGACTTCTGGATTGGCCGTTGCTTGCAAAATCAACCTTTTCTTCGAAGCAATCGTTTCATGCAGCATGCAAGAGGAACGTACTCCCAATTATGGCTGTCAAGCTGATCGTCTAACACCCATACCCCGGGCGGCTTTGGCCCGTGAAGCTCGTAATTACTCCTCCTCCAGTAGTCCCCCCCGATGCATTCCTTGCAGCCACAACAGAAGACTTAAACAGGAGCCGTATCACGAGATGCTCAGTTGGCCAGACGCATGCCAAAGAATGATAGGCCGCAGTGGCACGTAGGAAACACAAACTGATACCTCGGACATGGGAATTCGTGGTTGCGGCTGAGGGTTTCAGGAAATTCGAGCGCGAAGTGTGAGAACCTCACCTAGGACACCTCTAGCAGTCTGGCAGCTAGCAAGCCCCGATAAGGACAACCAAAACCTTAAGCTTTCTCAAGCGCACCCCGCGAAGGGGGATGAAGCCAAGGCCCTGAACCAGGCAGGTGCTTCTCTGCCGTGTTATCCGTACAGATATGAAACATGCAAGTCTCATGCCGGGGAGACCGAAGACTAGACAACACATAAGCCTTGGGCCAAAGCCAACGATGAAAGTAAAGCAAACAGCGCACACATAACCTTAGCCGGGCTGCTTGTACTGAAAGCAAGCCATTCGAAAGTCTTGCAGTGCACCATGGTAGACGCGGCAGTACCAAAGAGCAAGACCTGTCAAATTCAAGCTTTGAATGCTTAGGCTGTTGGAGTTCGACCACTCAAGACGTCTACCTTTGGGCTCAAAAAAGATGGGGGACCGTAGAGCGCTGCTCAGATGGTACATGCTGCAGCTTAGCGCAACTGCACATTCTGTCAATCTAGCCTGCGACCCAAACACGAAAACTCGAGAATTCAGTGCTCACAATCACAACCATATTCAGTGTGCAGGGCTTGGTGGCTGGGACTGCTAGGCCGCTTGGACACTGCAAGTCCAGAGGCAACACACCAGCTCATGCAGTCTATTGTGGAAACCAAACAATGCTTTCTATCTTCAACTCTTCGACTAACCCTGGAGGAAATCTCTAACCCTGGAGGAAATCTCAGACACGACTTCGTGATACATATCTCCGAGCTCACGGCATGTTTTATTAATATCTTTCCAAACCACCGGACGCGGTTTTCCAACCAGCCCTTAACTGTAAAGAACACAACCTGTAGATGTGCATCTAGTTTCTACTCCGCTTCTACATGTAAGCCGCACATCTTACATTATACGACCTCACTGAGTGTGGCGTGTAGCTCCATAGTCGCTGATCGCTGAAGCAAGGGCCCGAAATAGGTTACGAAGAAGATGTAAGCCCTGAGCCCGACGAGAGCAGCCCATGCAGCAAGGACACTGTTCTTGTTTTTGTTGATGCCGTTGCTATTCTTCTGCTTCTGCCTCCTCTTAGGTTGGTGCAGTTTCACTTCGAATGCCTCGAAGTTTTGCTCGAAATCTCCAGAGCATACAGTCTTTGCACCATTCACTTGGCAATCTGGCAACTGCAGCCAGGCAGCACACATGCAAAACAATCTTCGCAGCGCCAGAAACCTGAATCCAAACGGCCATGGCGGTCAATGCAAATAAGAGTGGTTGGCCTATGATTCGCCCCAACGCCAAAATCTAACTCAGATCAATGTCCGCTACTCCGAAAGTAGTGCGACGTCCCGGGAGCTTCTCAAGCGTCTTGATCAAACCAAAGGCCGCTCACAGTCGGCTGCAGTGCAGCGATAAAGGCCGAAGGTTAAGTAGGCGGTGTTACGACTGCAGCGTTTAGGGTCTGAGTTCAGGACTTGGGACTGAGGTTGCTGGATGTAGGATCCATGGTTATAGGTCGCAGATGCAAGGTTTCGAGTATCGAGTTTGTGGTTGGCCCTTGCTCTGCCTGTGCACACTTGCTTTGCCCCAAACTTCGGTCTAACCGTAAACCCCACCCAGGCCACTTTCGGGTCTCGGGTATCGGGTTACGCTTTCAGCCAGGCGTCCCAGGTGTCCCAGGCCGGCAGAAAAGGTACTTGAGCCACCAAAGATGTTTTGTCGACTTCGGCCTGCCGGTTAGTTCAGGAACCATGGAACACGGCACCCATCTCCCATGCCAGTGATACCAGTGCCGGGCACTGCCTGTTCAAGACGCTATGAGCATGGCAACGCAAATGAAGGCTAATCCTCCATTATTCAAAGCCCTAAGAGGATCTAAGCGCCGGGGAACGAAACCTGAGGTTCCATTCAAGGAGTCACCTATAACGTGCTACTACTACTCCTACTACCTACTAGCTAATAACCCTACTACTCGTACTCGTACTGGTCCATTCCTGTCCCACTCCCACTCCGACTCTGACTACGACGACGATAACGACGATTAATAATCAATCCTACTCCTACTGCTGCTGCCGCTGCTGCTACTGCTGCTACTGCTGGTACTGCTGCTGCTACTACTACTACTACTACTACTGCTACTACTACTACTACTACTACTACTACCACTACCACTACCACTACCACTACTACTACTACTACTACTACTACTACTACTACTACTACTACTACTACTACTACTACTACTACTGTTACTACTACTACTACTACTACTACTACTACTACTACTACTACTACTACTACTACTACTACTACTACTGCCTACTGCTACTACTACTACTGCCTACTGCTACTACTGCTACTGCTACGACGACGACGAGAACTGCTGCTCTCGCCGCTTCTGCTACAGCTAGTGCCTGTCTCGGGACTTCGGGCTTCAGGCCTGCTTGTTTTGCGAAAAAGGGCCCACCATCTCATGTGCTGCGCCTGGAAGGGCTTTGAGGAAAGCCCGCCGAAAACGATGTCGGGTATTGTCTTGATGTACCTCTGCTTGAGGGTACAAGGCATTCGGTTTCGGGAACCACGCCGGGATGTTGGCAACTTTGGCTTGGCTGTAGGCTTAAATCATGTCCGCGGCACGGTGACAGATGGGCCTGAACAGCTACGTTGCAACCTAAGGCGTCAATCTCGCGGATGGGTGCTACAAGATCTTCAATCTATAGGCTCCGACAACCTGCAATCGTGTGACATGAGGGGAACCTCAAGGCCAGAAGCCACAGGGGCCTACGCCCTTCAACAGATAACGCCGCGATACGCCGCGCATGCACAGCATGCCTGCATTAACTGGAGCAAACGGAATAGTTGAGAGGCTTAAAGACCAACTGGTATTTGGCACTAGGGCCGCACCTTGTTCCTCCGATTTCAAAGCTGGAGGCATTCCGACATTTCGTCCACCCTGAACCAGGATTCTCTGCCCGGACCATGCAGGTAGCTTGCGCCAAGAAACGCCATGCCCAATGCTTTCATGATCAGCGGACCCAGAGCATTGCAGTACCTTGCTGGCTTCAACTTGAGGCCGTGGAGCTCTTGAACAGGTGCCATGTATGGGGAGCTTATGGCCGTAACGGTCTTTAACTTCCAAGGGCATATATGAACCACTTCAACGAGGTATGCACAATGAGTTGTCAGAAGATGGCTTGTTGAAATCTTGAAAAGTCAAGCAAACTTTCTGTGGCATTGTACTTCCCCTCTCACATATTCAGTTTTAACGGGACTAGTTGAAGCCGACCTCACATTTTGTGATGCAACATGCCTAGCACGGAGGACTTTGCATCCGCATGAATCTTGCCCAAGCTCCAGATTTCCAAGTCAGCACAGCCTATACACGAGGATATTCAAAAGAAACAGAAAAAGACAGCATGATCCCCAACAGCCTCAAACGAATTTCCCTGGGTCCGCTTGCACGAGCCGCCCTCCACTTGCATCGGAGAAGCATGAGGAACTTCCTGAGGTTACGTGTTTTCGCAGTCCCATTAAGGTTACGGGTCGAGGTCTGTGATAGGAATGCGCATGGCAGCTGTGTGCAACTGAAATCTATTCCGACGCTGCCAATTCAGTGAGGCTTTGCCTTGTATAGGGATGTGCAAGACTCGACGGATTTGCCAAACTGGGTGGATCTAGTGGCCTGCAAGCCCTTCGGCACAGCCTGAAACGCAGGCCCCAAACCGTAAGAGACAAGCACGGCGCGCTGGGGAACCAGGTTGTTTGGGCCAGAGGCAGTCATGACTAGAACACTCTGGTATTGCATTCCAGCACGATGTGGCGGTAGGTTTAAGGTCGGGATTGAGGGCTTGGCCTCCAGAG